GGCTGGGACAAGGCGCCGGGGGCGGCGGCGGCGGCTCCGGCTGGGGCTGCGGCGGCGGCTGCTGCGTCGCCTGAGGACAGGGGTCTTTAGGCACCGTGGGCTCGAGGAGGGGGTCTTTGCTGCTGTCCTGGCTCTTCTCTTGACTCCTTTCTAGTCCCGATATCTTCGGGACGGCTGGGCCCCTAGCACCAGGGTTGGCATTTTCCGCTAGTGTACTGACTCCTAACTCCTTATCTGCAACAACAAGAGAGGGAGAAAGAGAGAGAAAACGGGTGAGAGGGCCACAAGATGGGCAAAATCCAGCTGAAACTCAGTGCCCCACATCGTGCCCTGGGCAGTCACCGTGTTTCTTGTCTTACAAAGGAGGGGGTTGACTCAAAACCTAACCAAAACCAAACTCCATTCTGGCACTATCATGAACTCTCCATCCTTAATTTCCATCTCATGGTTTATTATATTGAAGAAAAAAAGATGCTCGTTTCTCAATTAATCCATGACAAAAGGCAAGTATGCCAAAGAGTTGAGCATGGTCGCTCAAGCACTCAAAACCCTTGAGYTGAACCTTGCAAAAAGTCACCACTTTTGCCTTAAGAAAAACGCCCAYAAATAGTTGCGCTTTGCTCTGCTCTGCCTTTTGCACCATGAAAGCTGGTTTCACTCCATTCTCCTACAGGATTTGCTTCCCACCTTTCCTGTGCAAGCATGCTTGCGTTTATTTATTTATTTTAAGAAAACTGTGATTTTGACAGTCCTGACCCAACTCCAGGGTTTGGGGCTCTAGAACATCACTGATAACTATGTAAGAGCAATATTGTCTCTATGCTAATTTGGCAAAAGCAGTCTCTGACCAATTATATAAAACCCAATGGAAGTGATTACAGAAACATGTAAGCACAAACTGCCAGAATTAGCGAGAGAAAAATCCATAGGAAGTCAGGAAATGTCACTGGTTTCTCTACTTATGAAGAGTTTGTTTACCAGGCACATGCTTCTTTACCTCAAATTACTCTCATGYACTTAAGACGGCCTCTCTATCGCATGGACAGCCAAATGAAGAGAATAAGAGTTAGGGAAATAGCATATTTTTGTCCTGGGTTTCTTTCACTGACATGCAGATGAAGTATCATTCTTTGAAAGAATGGCCAAACAAGTGGAGAAATCAATCAACATCATTAGTCCTGAGTGTAGTTTTTGAAAGACATGAGAACCACACTGTGCATCAGAGTATGTGCACGCACCCCTTCCTTCTCCTCCTCCTCCATTAAATCTCATCAAAAATAAGGCACCTAGCAGAGAGCAGAAACCATCTATGACTATGGCTTTCTACTGTTGTCTACTGTGATTAGTAACCACTGTTACTAATCCACCAAGGTAGAGTATGCAATGCAAGCCCTCTGCTACATCAGACATTATAAAAGCTCAAAACCTTAAAYACAGAAATTCTTTTGTTTATTTGTTTGCCTTTTGCTTTGGCTCGTCATGGAATGACTTTAAAATTCCATGATCTATRGAACGGTTTTCCAGATAGCTATATCTCTTAGATACTCAGACTCCTAGATATGACTTACTATAMTTTCAACATTTACTACAGTGGAGTTTTGCTCACCAGTAATCAAYAGCAATTTCTTGTTTGAATCAAACCATGTTCTCCAAAACTTAAATGTTTGATGCATGGTAAGATCTTTAAATGAACTGACCCAAAATGAGAAAGGGGCATGTCTCCAGCTGCAGTGGGAATTGGAAGTACCTTTTAGAGCAATATTGCAAAGCAACTGTGAAAAGTAGGATTTCTTACAGCTTTGACTACTGTGGAAACGAAGTGCAAAGGAAAACGCACAAGATTCAGTAAGGCTTGATAACTCAAAACATACCCAACAATCTTAAGGAAGTAAAACTTTACTCATTCTTCCACCAGGCTTAAGGGGTAAAATGAATATATAAATAGTAAAATGAGATACATTCAGAGAAATCTGTTGACAGCTACAGGGAAACTCCGGAGGAATTGTACAGCCAAGGTCAATGGTATTGCAATTAAGGTGCAGGTTATAAATACAGGAAACGCAGCTTGCATTAATTGGTTGATCAAACATTATCAAAAGTTAGACAGAGTGTGATCACCACATGTGTTCAGAAAGGACCCCAAAGCGGGGAAAACAAAGTTAACAGATTGTTCAGAAAAATGCAGATACATGTTCCTAGTTGTTACAGGTTTAAGAGTTAATGACATTTGGATTTTTTAACAGAATGGCATCCTAATTATGCCTTTGAGGCTTTAGCCTTGTCATTAGAAATTCCCTACAAGACAAATATAGTAGGGGGTCTGAAAAAAACAGCAGAAATGATACTCCCAAATCTGCAGGGAATACCTTGCACTTGGTGCATTCATTAAATCTTTGTATTTGATATTTTTAGTGTCCCTCGCGCATAACATTTATTCAGCACAGCTCTCCGCTGGGGAGCTTGCTCCTCATACAGCAGCTCCTCCTCCCCTTGAGGACAAGGGCCATGAATCCTAGTGTCCCCAGGGTATTTTTTGCTGCTGCTCACATCTTCACTACACAGCCCCTAAGTACCATTGCTGTTAGTTCACAGCTTAGGAGATGCTGTTTTCGGTAGGATGATGTGATTCCAAATGTCAAGCAGCACATGTGTGCACACCTCTCTCTGCCCTACAGCACGGCATCTATGCTATAGCACAAAATGCTCGCAGGTGTCGAGGAATCTCTCTAACCCCGGTATACGCAGCAAGTGCATTTCTGCAGGACTGATAATTATGACACATAAGCCAGGAAGAATTTTTCATTCCACAGTATCTATTTAAGGAGTTGAAATCCCACATATGTGATGAGCACTACCAATTATGTTTCACACAGAGAGTTAAAGTCTTCATCAACAGTATCTCAAGGTCACACAAACAAAATCACCCATGTTCTTCTGGTACATTTTTGTACCACGCATTATTTGGGAGTGAGAGCTGACGGCAAAAAGTCCCTTATGTTACTATGATACAAGCCAGTTGCATGAATTTCTGACTTTGTCTATCAAAGGAATTTATTTCCATGCTGACTGCTAAAGCAAGCAAGCTGATCTTATTGATGGCAGTTTCCATATTCTTATTTTAGATAAAGTAAGGTTACTGCATCAGTATTCAAAAAAAGCAGTAACAGTGATGTAACTCATATGCCTGCCTACACAGGCTTCCCATTTTTCACTGGCTTGACACTGTATCCACCAGCAGTGAGGTTTTTTATCCAATAAAAAGGAAGAAATAAAGCCATACTTTGAAGTTTCTTTGAGGAAAAACTGAGAAAAAACATTTACTACATTTGCACCACACAGACAGTAAACAGAAAATGCATTTCATTATTGTCCCTTCCTGTCTGTGCCCTTTGATGTATCTTATGTCTCAAATTCATCTGCTTTTTGCTTAACACAAAAAATATTGTCATCTCTCAAGGTGCAAGAATCCCTCCGAGGAATACAAGTGCATTTGGGAGTTTGCTGTGACCAAGTGCTGAGTAGCACTTGGTTTGCTCAGTAACACCACAGGAGAGACAAGGCCACACGGTGCAGGGCTGTAAGTCAACCAAATGACTGCATGTAAACTAGAGAGACTCTGTATCTGAGTTTACATTATATTTTATATACATTCTATGAACATACACATATACACATGCACTCCCMTGTGTTTGTACACATGTATATGTGTCATACATATGCATTTATATTTAAACCCATATCTATCATATGCATACATATATTTAACAGAGAAATACACAGTGCATGCAAACATTTCCATTGAAAGACATGGATTTGGTATAACGAACACAGTTCATATGCAGCGTTCACCTGAAATGCTCTTGCCTGTCTTCCTAACGCACACAGAAGTCAACTTTGACCTGAGGTCTGCATTCTGGCTCTTTTGTACCTCTTGGGTGATCCGAAATTCCGAGAAGTGGGCCACAGCTGGCCAGTGGAGACCATTACTGCCCCCTTCCAAAACCCAACTATTCTTCCGCCAACAAAGAGGCCCTGCTGAAGCTGGCCAAATTTTTGAKATTTCCAAAGATTCACCAATTCAGTGCATACTCTGATTTTGTACGATCATGTGCTGTCTTGCAAGGGAGTTTCTATATGTTTGGTTGTAGCAAARATGAAAGGAGATGCTACTGGCCACCCCAGGACATGTCATGACAGGAACTGGGGTGCTGCTCACTGGCTCAAGCAGCAGCCAAGCAAGCGAGGACTCCCCATCTCCGACCTGAAGCGAAGACGCTTGGGGAACAGTCTACTTAGACAAGGTGATTCCTAATGCTGCCATTTGYGACAACTGAATCTCTTTTCTGAATACAAAGTCATAAAGTTTCTCTATGTGCAGGTCTGGAACAGCTGAGTTTGATTCAGAAACAAGACTGTGTAGGTGCCCTGCTACTCGCTCTCCCTTTCACGTTAGGATTCATCCTCTCTGTGTCCGATCTGGGAGGCAGAAGGCATCTTATGAGACAGATTCAGAATGAACACTCCRTTTTCCATTCCCAGGAGGAGCTTTGGGGCTAAGCTCAAAGTCCTTATTGCACTCGTATMGAAATTACGGAAGTATACAAAACTCTGATGCTACCAGCATTATATTTGGGACTGAGCATTCAGCCAACTCTGAAATTTTACTTTTTTATAGCATTATTTAATTTAAAAGAATAGCATTCATTTTTCTTACGCTTTGATAAGTTAAACTCTCTAGACAACACTACCTAACTACAATTTTCGGCAAGCTCTCTTAATGCAAGATAAAAAATTAGATCTTTCAGAAAATATGAAACTATTCTCCTTCAGTCTGAACTCGGGCAGGTGGGCAGTTGGTGCTCACCRTCACAAGCAATACAAATGTCGAACTTCTCTGAAGTCAGTGTAACGCAGAAAACACAAACCGCCGACCATCACCCTGAGAGCTACATTTCCACAGGCATTTTACAAGGGCTGAAATAAGTAATCAGATTTAAGACCTGATTGTACATTTCATATTGATTAGACATTGGTCAAAGAAACATTTGGATCATTAAAGGCAGATGACAGAAACTATTACTGCAAAGGATGGAGAAGATGCTTGGGCATACCAGCCAACACGTGTCATAAAGGCCCCAGAGCAATTCATCTGTTGTACTTGATACACATAATTTGCTAAAAATAATTTTTCAATTTTAGTACGCAGTCATCTTTCATCCTAATTTCCAAGGACA